ACACAAACATGCCTTTCAAGAGTAGTGTGTCGTTGTGTCGTGGTTATTGCTTGAATGGTCGAAATATTTGTTTTCGGATTTCCGAACGATGAATCTTTAAACAGGAAGTGGTTACGAGTGATACAAGAGTTTTCGCCCAAGCTGTAGTTTTAAATTATCTTCAATTACTTTTGAAATCTTGTTGCATTATAAAAATAATTACAAACTAAGAGTTTTGACTTAAGAACACTTACCCAGTGACCACAAATTTATGGAATTTGAATATGTTTCAATCATTGCAAATGTCGAAAACAACTAATACTTAATTTGTTGTATGTACATACACCAAATATTTACACTTATAATATTTACACAAATTACACTTACAATATTTACACAAATAACACACATATATTTCTTAGTGTATTATTGCTGCGTAACTGTAATTCTTTGAAAACTGAACGCTGATTTTAATCTTTTGAATAGATCTGTATATGAAATATTTACAATAAAATGCAGTAAAAACTGTTAAAAATTCAAATTTATGATACAATAAAAAATTATTTAAAATAAGATGGAAAATGTAACGATTAATTTTCGGGCATTAAATTTATCGGGGGAACCAAATTCCAAGTATTTGAATATAGTCTGACTTTCCCCCGAATTTTCCTGTATTTAATCTTGCCCTGATTACAGTGAGGCAAACGCATTCCCTTATCCATAGTTCTCGCTGGCTTGCTTTCGCGGTCTCGGAGGTCGCGCGCGCTCCTTATCTACTTTGTGAAATCTATGTGTCGCTCGGAACAGGCGGAACCACTCATTCTCGCCTATCAGCATCGAGAAACAGAGTCTTTTCTCTATAGCATCGGAGGAGAGTCCTCGTGGGCAGTTTCTTAATAATGTCGGGGTGTTTCGTGTATGATAAGCACTGAGATCTATCTCAAGAAGGATAAAGTAATTTAAAACAAAATTATAATTAATTTTATAACAAACTAATGGTGTTCAACCAGGACATACCTTCTCGGATTGTTTATAACGGAAACTCAAAATTACGCGAAATATACCCACATTTTCAAATTACTTATTATACATTTATTATACATTATTGAAAGATTTTTTTTTCAATAAAATATTTTATTAAGAAAAAAATCAGTTTCAATGTTACAATTTTAGGAATACGGCGAAAAATGTTTAGCGTCAGCGAATAATTTATTTTGAAAAATTGGGGTTAATAATGATAATTGGACTTGCACAATTTTTATAAACCTACTTTGTTATACTCCAGAAAAAATAAAGAAAAGAATTGGAGCGGTTTTTGAGAAAATGTTATTTACGTACTTGTTTAAAATTGTCTTATTTCACGCAAAAAAATGCAAAACAATATATATATATATATATAT